AATCATGGATTTAAACTGCCGCTCAAGTTTTCAGAAACACACAGCACCAGGATTATCAGTTTCTGAGCAAGAACATATCTCCCATTTAACTCTAGTAGGGAACAGGGCAACATATGGTAGAATGAAATAAACCCTGGTTCTGGAGTCTGGAGTCAGAGGAGGTAGGTTTTAATTCTCCATCTGATGTTTGTCCTTGAACTTCATTTCCTCATTTGTAAAATGAAGAGTTTGGACTAGAAGCCTTTTAAGGTCCCTTCTAACGCTACGTTCCCGCAATCTACCCACTACTTCCCATTTCTAACTCCCACCAATAACCAGACCTAGTTTTATGTGTGAGTGTATTCTTTCCTTTTCTTTGCCTCATAATAGAATCCCTTATTTTTCCTTCAAAGCTCAGCTCAAGTGCCACCTTTTACACAAAACCTTTCCTGCAAGTCTAAGCTGCTAGTTCCAGCCCCCAAAGGTTTACTATTTATGTATGCCTGTGTGTGTGTGTGTGTGTGTGTGTGTGTGTTTGGGTTGCCACTCCAGGTAGAATAGCAGTTCCTTGAAAGTAGGGACTGTTTCATTTTTATCTTTGTATTTCCAGATCCTGCACATTGCCTGGAACATTGTTGGTATGTAGCAAATACTTACTGATTGTTTGATTGAGGCGGGCAGAGAAAGGCAGGGATAAGGGTAAGCTAGGGCAAGAATGACTCTACTATTACACACTTCAAGTGTGAATCAAGGAGGGAAATCTGCTGATACAACTATATTCTAATTCTCTGTGTACTTAACAAAAGGTTGACCAAAAAAGCAAGGAACAGAGACAATTGCCAAGACATTTCTGAGCAGAGGAAGGTTGTTTTTTTTTTGTTTGTTTTGTTTTGTTTTGTTTTTACAGATTCCTACACTGAAGTTCCCTCTGATGCCGTATATTGTCTTGGAAGTGACCCCTCAGTTCTCAAAGACTATGCCAGTAGAGCATACCAACCTAGAAAACTTTAGAAGGCAGACCCTGAGAGAGATTATCCTGATCTCCCAGGATGGGCCAGAGTTTGGAGAGGATCATCATCATCAGGAAGTTGGTCACTAAGTAGTGAATTGATGGGGGACCACAGCAACTCATGAAGACTGTTTTAGCAAGGTGGAAAGGGGCTTCGATATGCATTGGTGGAACACCCATACAGATGAAATTAGGGATCTTTTGAAATATATTAAAGACCTTGAGTTGGCATGGATTATGATGGAGAACCGTGCAATCAGTGTATTGGAAATGATTCTTAACCTTTTTTGAAATTGTTTCTTTACTCAATCCACGATACACTTTGAAGAAAACAGACATTGCTAAATGTATATGGGAGGGAAATCTGGGGTTTTGATGGACTGCAAACTCAACAGGTGTCAATAGTACAATGTGGTAGCCAAATGTGACCTAATGTGACTCAGGCTTCATTAAGGGAGGCATTAAGAGAGACATTGTGTCCTGGACATTAATATCATAGACCTTAAAATCTCAGTTCTCAATGTTCTATAGGAAGAACAGGAAATGGGGACAGCTAGGTGGCTCAGTGGATAGAGCACTGGCCCAGGAGTCAGGAGGACCCGAGTTCAAAGGTGACCTCAGACACATGATACTTCCTAGCTGTGTGATCCTAGGCAAGTCACTTAACCCCAACTGCCTTACCAAAAAAAACCCAAAAAACAAAAAGCAGGAAATGGCACTAAAAAAAAATGGGATGAACACTGGGATCAAATTGAATAATTACAGAGGAAATTGATGTTAGAGAGAGCATGAATTTGAGTATTTTGGGAGGACAAATAGCAGCAGCAACTCTGTAACAAACACTTTCTAGGCCCTGGGAGTACAAATAAAAAAATGAAATAATCAGCTTATTTTCTAACGATTTCTTCTCAATCCTCATCCTTCTTGACCTCTAAAGTATTTGACACAGTTGGCCACCTTTTCCTCCTGGATACTATCTTCTTTCTGGGTTTTAATGACTCTGCTATCTCTTGGTTCTCTTCTCACCTGTCTGACTAATCCTCAGTCCTTTTCTATATCTTCATCCATGGCATGCCCACTAACTGTGCTTGCTCCACGAGGTTCTGTCCTAAATCCTCTTCTCTTTTATCTATAAACCTTTTTCACTTAATGAACTTGTCAGTTTTCTTGGAAGTAATTATTGTCTCTGTGTAGTCGATTCCCTTATCTACATATCTAGTCCTTCTCTCTCTCTCTCCCCTACCTCCACATCACCAACTGCCTACTGGACATTTTGAATTGGATGTCCTGTAGGTACCTCAAGCTCAGAATATTTCTCCTAAACTTCTGAACTTACTAGTTCCTGAACTTAATAGTGTTGAAGGTATCACCATCCTTGTAGCAATCTAAGTTCACAATTGCTGTGTTGTCCTTGATTCCTCACTCTTCCAAATTCTGAACTTCCAGTAAGGTGCCAAATTGTGTTATTTCTACATTTCCCCCATCCTTCCTCTTTTCTCTGCTTATGCAACGACCACTCGAGTTAATACCCTCATTGCCTCTCTCAAGTACTGTTGCAATGGTCTTGATCTCCCTACCTCAAATCGGACCCCAATCCAGTCCACCCTCCTCCCTACAGCTGCCAAAGGTGTGACCGTGTCACTTCCCTACATAATAAACTCCGAAAGTTCCCTATTACCTCTAGGACAAATAAAAGCTTCAAAGCTTTTCACAAAAAGGCTCCAACCCGACCTTCCAGCCTTATTACATCTTACTCCTCTTATGGTTTCCACAACTTAGTCAATATGGCTTTACTCCTCTTTATATATGAAATTCTGTTTCTCATCTCCACATCTTTGTACTAGCCATCCCCTACACCTGGAATGCAGCTCTTCCTCCCCTACATCTTAGAATCCCTAATTTATTTCAAGTCTCAGCTCAACTGATATGAAGCCTTTCCAGATTTTCTCTGCTGCTAGTATCCTCCCCACTGAAATCACCTTTTACCTATTTTTTATTTTGAATATACCTACATATGTATATGTTGTCTCCTCTGATAGAATGTAACCTTCTTGGGAACAGGAACTACTTGTTTTTTGTGTTTATATCCACAGACCAATCACAATGCTTGGCACTTAGCAGGTCAATCAATTAATAAACATTTATTAAGCACCTACTACTCATCAGATACTATGCTAAGTGTTGGGGATACAAAAAGAGACAAAAGATAGTTCCTGCCTTCAAAGAGCTCACAATCTGATGGAGGTGACAGCATGTAAACAAGTATAATACAAATGAGCTGTATATAGGATTAATTGATTGATTGATAGGATTTCTCATTATGGATACGTCAATACCAGACAACAGAGAAAAAGCAGAGTTGCTTAAATTTCATTTTGCTTCTCTTTTTTTCTCCCAAGGAGAAAAAATATTTGGACTGAAAAGGACAGAGTCAAAATAGCTAATAAAGAGTTGTTTCTCAAGATAAGTAAGGAGATAATAAAAGAGAATCTAGCTGCAAGTCACTAAACCCAGATGAACAACACCCTGCAGTACTGAAAGAACTGGCAGATATGATTGATTGCTCAACCACTGTCAGGTGGCAGCAGTGGTTTGACCCACCCGACCTATCATTTGACTCACTGTCACTAACTGAGCATGCCTTCCTAATCCAGCCAGGATGGCTCCCCTACCCTGTTGGTGGCAGTTGGTCTAGTGGTCGGTTTGGGTCAGGGAAATCCAGATACTCGTTTCTTTCACTGATTCTCATAAATAAAGATGTATTGAAGTATAAGTCTCTGTGACACAACCAGTGATAGCCCCTGTGGTCAGACAATATCTGGAATATCATGTTCTTTCCTGGGTATCACCTTTAGGGAAGACATTGACAAGTTGGAGTTTTAGGGTAGGGAGACCAGAATGGTAAAGGTACTAGAGCCCATGCATGGTTGAAGGAAATAGGGGTATGTAGCCTGGAGGAGAGATTATGGAACTACTTGACTCCTCTCTTCAAGGATTTGAAGGGCAGCCATATAAGAGAGGGGCTATATTTTTTTGTTTGGTCCCAGAGGGTAGAAGTAGGAGCAAAAGGATTTAGGATGCATATGAGTAAAAACTTCCTAACTTTTGGAACCATCCAAAAGTAGAATGGTCTATCTTGGGAGGTAGAAGGTTTATTCTCCTAACACTAATCCCTTCCCTCTGAGATTATCTCTAATTTATCCTCCCTACATCTTTTTTGAACTTTTTTTTTGGACTGGTTTTTTTTTTCCTTCTTCATTCAACTGTGAGTTCATGGAGAGTAAGGATTATTTTCTGTCTTTATTTGCATTCCCAGTACTTAGCATAGCTTCTGGCAGATAGTCAGGACTCAATAAATACTTGTGCACTTGACTTGCTAAAGGTCTAAAAAGTCCCTGATAGCCTCTTGTTGGGGAAAAGGTAAAGGAATTCCTGCTTAGCCCTGGGTTGGACTAGATGGCCTCAGATGTCTCTGCCAGTTCTGAAGGTGCGAGTTGGGTTTACTGCGTGTAAGTTAGCATTGATCAAAGGGATTTAAAGGTCCCGATGAAAAAATATGTGAAGAAGAATGGGTGAATTGTGCTCCCTTAGACAGCTTTTAGCAAGAGTTGTCAGGAGAGCACTGCATGACCCCTGCAGCCTGGGAGAATTCTTTCTGAACACCCCCTCCGGGATCAGCTAAGGAGACGTGGCATCTTAGCACTCCCTTCCACATCTACCCTTATCCTAGCCTTTCTCCAACCTTCTCAACGTGGAAAGTGGTCGCTTTTGTTTCCCTTGAAGCTTCCGCCTCCTCCAGCAACCTGGTCCCCTGGGTTTCCCAAAATCCGGAGAAAACAGAGCAAGTCAGCGACTGAAGCTGCCCACAGAAAGCGTTTGTGCGGGGCGGGAGCCAAAGTGGGAGTGGGAAGGAAGAAATGGAGAGGCGGGAGCAGTCTGCGGACCTAAGGGCGGGGTAGTGAGAAGAGAGGAGGGGAAGGGAAGGAGGCGCGTTCTCGGGGTTCTCTGGCTCGTGACCGTCAGCAGCTGCGGGAGTAAGAGCCCAGCCTTGGGCAGGCAGCATCAGAGATGCTAGGCTGTGAGCGCAGGAATGGGGCCGCAAAACCTTGGCGTCCAACAAGGATCGTCTACCTGCTAGTGGCAACAGCCTCCCTTCTCCCCGATGTGTGTGGGTACAAAAGGGGTTCCACCACCTGGACGCAGGAGAAGGTGAGGGGGCTAGTGAATGAGAGAATGAGTGTGTGCGCGAAGGGCACGCCCATGTACACAGCTGTATGCAGATTTAGGGGCAGGGGGTTGGAGAAGTGGTGAGAAGGATGACGGGCTCTGTCTGTGCGAGTTGATAGGTAGGGATGGGAGCCTAAGCGGTATTAGTTAGGCTTTCATGAGTTCCCCACCCCACCCCTCCCAGTCTTGGGAAAGACGCCCCCACACCATTCGCTCCGACAGCAGCAACTGGGACTGGGTTATTGGGCCCGATATCTCAGGTGGGTGATTTGGCTGTCTCCGACCCAGAAAGAGTGGTTAGATGATGTCATGATATGTCCCCTATTGTGGTTCGATTGGGGGTGTTGAAGGCAGGCACAGGAAGTCTGCCTTGACGGGCAGTGAAAGATAGGGAGATAAGAGCTCATCTTTGGGCTCTGCCACCCACTCTGGATGATGGATGGCAGGGTTCATTACGCACACAGCCCTGAGCAAGAGCTAGGTACTCCTGGAAGCACTCTTGTGCTGTTTAATTGATGAGTGAAAACCTGCCCTTTGCTGAACTTTCCATTAGGTTAGTCCTCAGGTAGTGGCATTTCTTCCTTTCTTTTCTTCCTTCCTTACTTTTTTCCTTCCTTCCTTTTTTCCTTTCTTTCCTTCCTTCCTTCCTTCTTCTGTCCCTTCCTCCCTTTCTTCTTTCCTTTCCTTTCTTCTCCTTTTTTTGTTGGAGAAAAACCAAATGTATCAACTAGAGACATATTATTTTTAAAAGCAATTCATGGTGCTTGCAAGCATTTGGGGGGTGGGGAGGAAATACTATTTTTATAAATAGAAGTAGGCTAAAAAGTACAGATTTCAGAGAGGTTTGTACTACTGGAAGATGGAAAACTTAAAAAAGCTAGGATGAAAGCCATTAAATGGCTTTGCTTGTGAAGCAAGCAGTTTCATGCTCATTTCATTATTTATGTAATTGGATTTTGAAATTGCATTACATTTATAAAGGCTTGTGAAACTTGAGGTGTTATTTCATTGTGGTAAACATCCCACTGGTGTGGCAAGACATCCAAAGAGACGCTTTGAGAGACCTTTACGTTTATGGGAGATTTAAAAAAAATTAAATGCAAACCAAGTCATTTTTTAAAAATCCATAGATTAAACCCAATGTAGTTTTCAGTTTTTTAAAAGTACAAGGTACAGGGATAAATTTACTGGGGCACATAGAGACTTGTGTTCACCCACTCTAGTGAACCCTGGAACTCTAACACTGTGATTCACGTGTGCTCTGTGAAAATTGTTGAGGACATCTAGTTCCTGAGTTTAAATTTAGTTTTGCTTTGTTTGATAATCACAGTCTGCAATCTTACCTTATTGCCAATTTTACCTTATTGTAATTTTACCTTATTATCCAAAAGGGGGCTCTGGCAAGAGTGTGAGTAGAAACGGTCAAAAGCCATTACCACTGTTTCAGCAATATCCTTATATATTATCATCTTAATTTATAAATGCATGAACACATCTCTGAGATACTATCCAATCTCTCTTCATCATGCTTACCACCATCTTCACCCTCCTGGGAAAAACTGACAAAGTAGAATTATGAAACAAGAACTTGGAGACACACCAACTACTCTTTGCAATATACAGAGTGTCTCTAATGTTGGCTAGTAAAGAGTGCTTATAAATAGTTTTCTCAAAGTTTTTTTTTCCTGTAAGAGCCATTTGCAGATATGTGCACACAGAACAATCTTGTATACTGAAGAAGGTGCTGTGATTTTGTAATATGTCAACTAAACTATAATTTGCATTCAAGTCTACGCTCTGACACTTGCTATCATCATTACCCTCTCTAATAATTGCCCTGTTTATAGTGTTTTAAGGTTTACAAATCAATTTCCCTAAAACAAACCTTGCAAATTAAGGAGTACAAGGATTTCAGATAAGGAAAGTGAGTGATAGATAAGTTAATTATTAATGGATCCATACATTCTAAGGGTCAAGATTCCAAGGCAGGTCTCCTGATTCCAGTTCTGACACTCTATCTTCCTTAGATCCCTTATCTATAAAATGAAAATAATGCTATTTGTATAATCTGCTTCCTAGTGGTGTTATAAGGAAAATGCTTTCTAAGTATTAAAGCACAATCAAATTTCAAGATATTATTACTAATAATTATGGTTGAAATAACTTTAAAAAGCATTGTGGACAGTGTGCTGGCCTTGGAGTCACCAGAGGCCTGAGTTCTAATCCCAATGCCAACTTTTGCTAGTTGTGTAACCACAAACAAGTTACTTACCTGAGTTATAAGTTAATTAACTGAAACTCAGTTTCCTAAAATTTAAATGAGATTAATACATGTAGGGAATTTTAAAACCTTAAAATGGTATATAAATGTGAGCAACTAAACATTTACTTCAAATCAATGTAAGCTAAAAAACATTTTCAAACGGTATAACCAAAAGGCCAGAGCAGTCTTTTAAAATTTCCATTTTACTTCATTTTCTCTTGTTGGCTTTTAAAAAGTTTCTTGATTATCACTATCTGGTGAGTGGTCAAATGAGTCATGCCAAGTATACCATTTTAATAACATGAGGAATGTCTAGGTACATTGGTGTGCCCATGTTTTTGTAAGGTGTGGTAAAGAAAGCAGATTTTGAAAATTTGCTTCTGTCTCTTTGAAGTTAGGGTGTGTCTCATTTATGGTAGCACCTAATATGAAAATGTTGGAAATCTACTTATGAATGAAATTTTATTTCAAAAGTTTGCTAATAAGTTGGTTATTTGGAACCTGGGAGGGGCAACTGGGTAGTACAGTGGATAGAGCACCAGGCCTAGAGTCAGGAAGACTCTTCTCCCTGAGTTCTAATCTGGCCTCAGATATTTACTAGTTGTATGACCCTGAGCAAGTCACTTAACCCTTTTGCCTCAGTTTCCTCATCTGTAAAATGAGCTGGAGAAAGAAATGGCAAACCATCCCGTAATCTCTGCCAAGAAAAGCCCAGTTGAGGTCATGAAGAGTTAGACGTGACTGAAAACAACTGAACAGCAATAACAAAAAAGGCATTTCCCCAAAGGTAGAACATTATAGACCATGAGTAAGTTCAAAGTCAACCATAAAGGCCTTTTAAAGTCTCTATAGCTGAACTATGGCACTAGCAGAATAATTCTGAATCCTGAAAATAGTGATCATGTAGTACAGAAGGGTAGAGGAGCAACATAATTTTCTCCCTCATCCTGGGGTCAAGGGTCGTATTTTGAAATACGTGAAGTTTATCTTATCTATACTTTCGTCTCCCTTTCTGGACTTCTCTTACACATCCCAATGTCCCTCTCCCCCGTGATCTCATGGTTCTTTAAGCCACCCCTTGTGGCATTTCTACTTTGAGGATATCCAGATTCTAAACGTATTCACCACTCAATCAAAACTCTCATTCCTTTAGTGTTGTTCAGTCATTTCAGTCATGTCAGACTCTTTGTGACCCCATTTGGGGTTTTCTTGGCAGAGATGCTGGGATGGTTCGCCATTTCTTTCTCCAGCTTGTTTTACAGATGAGGAAACTGAGGCAAACAGGGTTAAATGACTTGGCAGGGGTCACACAGTTGTCTGAGGCCAGATTTGAACTCAGGAAGATGAGTCTTCCTGAGGAAAAAACAACATGATTGAACTAATTTGCTTAGAATTCTCAATTGAATCAATCAAAGATATTAGATATAAATGTCTATAAAGATATTAGATATGAATGTCTATAAATCAACTTGGCAGGAGTGAAGTACTCTCATCACTGGATGAAGACAGAGAAATTCCAAACCAAAGTGTATTAGAATTGGCTGAAACACACCTCTGTGTCTATATGTAACATTTCAAGCCAATTCGAAGTGGGTCATTCCAGCAGTAGCTCAGTCAGGTAGTGGTTAAATCCACTGGTGAAGGAATCCTAAGAATGAACTTGTCTTTCCCCAACCATTGATTGGATAACAATCTTTCTGAACTTTGAAATGTTGAAAGACCTAGAGCAGACCTGGGCCCGAGGGCTGCTTGGTGACAACCAGAAGATTTCAGGTGGCCTGTGAAAAATGTAGGGTTGCCACTGTGCACTCTCCTGTTTGTCACGTTTCCCCAGGCACCAGTCATCTCAATCTGTCTCTAGTTTAAACTATCTGTGGCCTGAAGAAGTTTAGCCTATTTTATTTTTGACCTCTACCTACTGCCAAGTGGTGCAGGTCTGACCATCAGAGCCTGTAGCAGGGTCCCTGGAGCATGGAGGGGGAGGGGTTAATGGCAGGGTCTGCACTGAGAAATATGAGACACCCTGAAGACAAATTAGATGCACTGAGAAAAAGCACTCACTACCTCAGGACTCTGTAAAGGGACTGACTGTTGAAGCCCAGCAGAAACTAAGGGGACCTACAGGGAACTTCATGAAGACCCCACAAAGGGAGAAAAGGACTCCCAGTAACTAGCGGCTTTGAGCTCTAGACACCTGCTTTTAATTTAAGCTCATTCTCTCCAAGGACCTTGAATACAAGGGAAGAGTATGTTTTCATTGAGGGGGATTATTTTTGGAAAGCCTGAGTTCACTATATCTGTTTACCCCTTTATAAATGCAAATAAATTGTGCTGATAATTGCTCGGGAGAACATTGGTTGGGGTTTATGAGCAATATAATACTGGAAACTGCAGCCCCTTATGATTTCCCCTAGAAGCCTGAGAAGAGTAGTAGTCAGCTCCCTCCTTGGGGATAGGGCCTTTCATTTTGAGTGCCTAGCTGGGGGATGCTTCGTACTGTGCCTGGCACATAGTAGGTACTTTAAATGTTGATTAAGTAGTATAGAGGGTGTATATAGTGTGTGTGTATGTATGCATATACACATATACACATACATATATCTATATATGTGTATACATATGCACATACATTATATATATATACATGGATCAGGAAAGACCTCATGTAGGAGTCAGATGTTGATCTGATTTTTGAAGGAAGCTAGCAATAGAAAGAATT